GGATAGTGTATGTTATGCCAGCTCAACTACCATGTTTCTGTCTATAGTTATACTTATCTCTATAATGGTTGTAACAGGGACAGCTCAACTACCATGTTTCTGTCTATAGTTATACTTATCTCTATAATGGTTGTAACAGGGATAGCTCAACTACTAGGTTTCTGTCTATAGTTGTACTTATCTTTATAATGGTTTGTAGTGGGGATAGCTCAACTACCATGTTTCTGTCTATAGTTGTACTCATCTCTATAATGGTTTGTAGCAGGGACAGCTCAACTACCATGTTTCTGTCTATAGTTATACTTATCTCTATAACGGTTGTAACAGGGACAGCTCAACTACCATGTTTCTGTCTATAGTTGTACTTATCTCTATAATGGTTGTAACAGGGACAGCTGAACTACCATGTTTCTGTCTATAGTTGTACTTATCTCTATAATGGTTGTAACAGGGACAGCTGAACTACCATGTTTCTGTCTATAGTTGTACTTATCTCTATAACTGTTTGTAACATGATCAGCTCAACTACCATGTTTCTGTCTATAGTTGTACTTATCTCTATAACTGTTTGTAACATGATCAGCTAAGGTAAAAATTTAAACTATAAACTTATTTTCATTGTACATCTGGGTAATAACATTTTTTAATTTTGTTACAATTTGCTTGGTATTGTTGAAACTGTAGTATTTTTTGATAAACAATATAAGCTAAATCAATTACTCATGAAGCACAATACATATATTATAGGCCAATAAAAAATTTGTTTAGTGAAATACAGTAAACCAATCACTGAAAGAACAACACCTGTATTACTAGCTAATAAATAAGTGGGGGAACTATAAGGCTTATAGTACAACTGAAGCCCAACTCTGGAATATTCAAGAGTTTGAATGTACTGATTACATGATGAATTAGGCTAACTAATAAACTTAGTACTATATATATCTGACTAATTAAGATAATAAGTTATTTTGTATTTAAAATCCAGTGAAACTTACCCTTTGGCAATAATTCTCAGAATAACTTCCACAACAAAGTAACAAACAAAGCAGAGAGCTGTAAAATCATATGCCTGTTGTTTCCGAGGAGGAAGATTGGGTTGTGCCAAGTCAGCAATTAGAACACAGATATCAACAATAATTAGAAACAGTCCAAAAACCCTGAAACAATAGACATTGTAATCAAACACTGATTTTATCTACAGTTTTCAGAAGATTTTTTAAAATTTTAATATATAATTGTATTACTAGCAAATACATTGCAGTAGGTTGTTTAATAACCAAAACATTCTTTTTTTATTAATCTCTCAAAATGCATCTTATTGTATTATATACAATACTTATAACTTAGAGAACATAATAAAATTTTAAAATGTTTTCAAATCTCTCAAAGTAAATAGTATAAATTATATTTTTATCATGAAAAGAATAACCTTTAAGAATCTTATAATAAATCCCTTTAATCAAGGTACATAGTAAAATTCTTATAAAATTAACAGTGTAATTTACACTAAATTCTACAATATCAGAAAATCCAATCTCTCAATAATTTTAATGGTTAACTTACCTAAATGCCAGGTGCTCCACTATTTTCCTTAGTTTATGCTGAAAACTATCAAAAGTGTTTATTAGAATTGTGAGCATGTTAATATTCTATGTTATAGGCAAAAAAACAAAGTTTAAACATTTGTTAATTAAAATTTTCTATAGTTTTATAAATTGTTACACTAGTCATTTACAACAGCTGTTAGCAAAATTGTTTGTTTGTGTGTGTGTGTGTGTGTGTGTATACAAGTGTCAAAATATTGTAAGCCTATAAATTAAATGATTTTATATTGCAAAATGATTTATCCACTTTTTACAAGTTTTAGAGTTCAACATTAATGTGTTCTGATGAGGAAAAGGACAATTGTGACAAAAAAAGCACATGAATTGTTCCTTGGTAATAGAGAGCATCCAGACAATCATTTAGGAGAGAAGAAACATCTTAATCTCACCTTGTAAGAAATAAAACAAGATCTGAAACTCAGAGAGAGAAAACATGAACTTCACCGTATGAGAAATAAGACAGCAATATCAGTTGTCCTGTTTTCTCTCCAAGGAGAGATCTAGTTATTACCTTTCTTCCAACTGGCAATCAGTTGCCATCTTTATTCTCAAGATACAATTTCTGTGCTTTTTTTTCCTCACAATTGTCCCCTTTCCTGATCAGTACACTTTAACATTTAATTCTATCCTTTAGTGAGAACTTGTCAAAAAAGACTAAATATATTTCATTATGAAATACATAATTTAAATATTTAAAACAGCTCAATCTTTAATATAATAGTTTTTATGCAGAGTATATACAAGAATAAATAAGCACCAGTCGTTTTGAATCTGTTACTTTTGTCTTTCAGACCTCAGCAAATAATAATAACTCATTATCATCTCCAGAATCAGCTGTCTAATATGAGAATCAGCTGATGACAGAATCATGTGTTTTCAATGTTAGTTCTTCAAATATTACACTGTTATTCATTTGATATTATTTACAATATAACCATAAATAAAAGAAATATAAGTTATAAGAATTTATGAGTGAAAGCAAAGAAAACATGTTATAATATGTCAACCTCATTAAATCTGTTACATCAAGTGCTGACAAAGCCTTTTGCCCAATACAATAGCTCAACAGGCCAGTTGGGATATGGCAAAAATATTATTGATCTACATGGTATTTATATCAATAATTTCTATGAAAAATGACCATTAGGATGTGAACTAGATTAAGAGAAGATTGATTATTATCAGTATTTTAGCCATTTCTAAATGCAATGGTCTCTTAGCTTTTTTTTAAAATAAAAAGGTTCAGAATTAGAAATTTTAAATAAGAAAAAGTTCTAAATTTATGCTGTAGATACAATAACTTCACAATGATCAGCTTTAACGTATCCAAATACTTCACTAATGTACCATATAATGACTTCACAAGATACAATGACCAGCTTTGACGTATCCAACTACTTCACTAATGTACCATACAATAACTTCACAAGATACAAAGACCAGTTTTGACGTATCCAACTACTTCACTAATGTACCATACAATAACTTCACAGGATACAACGACCAGCTTTGACGTATCCAATTACTTCAGTAACGTACCATACAATGACTTCACAAGATACAATGACCAGCTTTGACATATCCAACTACTTCACTAATGTACCATACAATGACTTCACAAGATACAATGATCAGCTTTGAAGTATCCAACTACTTCACTAATGTACCACTTCACTAAACTACACAATTTGCCAAGAGCTTGAAATGACAGAGCTCTCAAGGAATACACTCAACTGACAATCTCCACAGTAACAAAACTCAAAATCTACTTTTTCAATATAAAGATACATTATATGAAAAACAAGAAGGCCTAGCAATGGTCTTACCACTATCATCATACTCAGTAAACTGTTCAAGGCACAGTTCAAAGATAACACTGTCAAAAAAATCTTATTAGATCCAGTATATAGCTGAGATATGTTGGTTGTATGGCTACACTCTACAAACAAGACTCCAAAATTCAGGAACACAATTTACAACTGAAACAGGAAAAGATATGAACTCCCATTCCAAGGTGTTATGGCTACCAAGACACATAACTCATATCACAAAGTTTACAGGAAACTGCTACTGCTACATATTATACCACCCAAACACAGTAAAGAGGGGTATCACAGACTGCCTAGTTTCTTGAGTAAACAAGACTTGTAATACAGAAGATATTATTAAGAAGTACAAAACATGTCACTACAACTCTATAATAATAAATACCTGGAACACAAAATAAGATAAACACCAAGAAGATTATACACACACAGCCATGTTCCCCAGTGTCAAATGACTCTCTGAAAAAATTGAGATAATATTTAATCAGCATAAAGTTAAAACAGTATTCATGCCAAACCATCCAGCTTCATTAGAGAGGAAAACAATTTACAACATTCCTTGTGAACTTTCACTCCAATACTTTGGAGTAATACATAGTTAGAATTTAAAAGGACACACGCTGAACACATATAAAACTTTGCATTATAAATAATAACAACCAATAATGTTGAAAAATAACTAAACCATATGATAAACTGGAATAACCATAAAATAATGTGATATGAATCACATATAAGAAAAAGAAACATAAAAGAAAAATTCTTCTACATCCATTTAATTGATAATGTACCAAGTCAATCTAACACAGAAGTCAGCAAAACCTGAACTCCTCTTAAAACCATCCAAATAATTGATTTAAGCCCTAACTTGAATGGATATCACACCAATCTTTCTAACAAGAAACTTCAGGATTAAGTCCTATCCCTAACTGTCATCAAACATTCCTTCTCAGTATGTCTCTGAAAAAAGATTAAGAGTTGAAACATAGGATATATACTAATAAGTAAATGGTATCTAGCAGTAACAATTACAAAATAAATAAAAATTAGTACCTAACAAATAATTAGACTTAGATGCTTGTATAAGCTACAAACCATGACAAATATTTTTTTTAACTATTTTAAAGACACAAGCAAAACTTGTCATCATGGCCTAAACCCTTGACTGTAAAGTTACAATGTGATAATGTTGATTAAAGAATTAAAAAAATAAATGTAAGTGGAATGTTTCATGAATTATAAATACTACTACTACTATTGAGTTAATAACATCGATTAAAGATAGATTTAAGTGGAATGTTTCATGAATTATAAATACTACTACTATTGAGTTGATAACATCGATTAAAGATAGATTTAAGTGGAATGTTTCATGAATTATAAATACTACTACTATTGAGTTGATAATGATGATTAAAGATAGATTTAAGTGGAATGTTTCATGAATTATAAATACTACTACTATTGAGTTGATAATGATGATTAAAGATAGATTTAAGTGGAATGTTTCATGAATTATAAATACTACTACTAT